TTGGATCATCTGTTAGATGGTCGTTCATGTTGACCGGACGTCCGCACTAAGTTGGTCATCGACATGGACACTCTTGGGGAGCCTGGAGTGTTCAGGTCGTCTAAGGAGGAGCGAATCGGGCCAGAGAGGACACTCAGCAGCCAAAAGCTCCCGTGGCGAACAGTAGTGGGATCGCGCCCAGGAGTGTGCGCCTTCTAGCAGCCAGTCGATAAAGACAGACCGAAATCTTTTAATAAAAAAATTAATTGATTTACTAATTTAAATCATTAACATTTTGTAAATACTTTGAATCATAGAATATTCGCACAATATATTTAAAAAAATGTTATAGATAAAACATATCTGAAGATACAATTATAACTCAAAACAATAAGTTAAAAAATTATTCAAAATCGAAATTTGTTTAAATAATATAATTAATTACAGGCATTGACTAATACCAATATTTTTTTAAAAACAAATATTGATAAGACGAATTTTGAATTTATCAATAATAACCGATGTAAAATTTTATAAAATTACATTTTGAAACATTGAAAAATATACCATATATAGACATATATAATATATAAGTGTAAATATAAATAATTTTATGAAATCCAAACAAGTTATAATAAAAATTATAAACTTCCCGTAGTCATAATAATCTCAAAAAAATCGAAAATGAAAATTTTTATATATCTTTACGTTTCAAAGGTTTCTGAACATTTTGGCATACCTTAGAAAAAATGGATGTATGTGCGTGTGAACGTGTGTGTATGTGCGTGCGGATACAAATTTTCGACGACGATTTCGGGAACACGGTTCAACCAATTTCAATTATTTAAAAAACATTCGATTCCTATTGATAAGGAGACGTGCTGATTAGTTTTTGGCACAGGCAGATCTAGCCATTTCGAAGATACGAGGCAAAAAGTGCTAAAAACGGTAACTCAGTTTTTAAAAGAACGGGGCGTCCAATTTTATTATTTCACAAACATTTTACTTGTAAAAATAAGATGATAACTTTATTAAACATTTGGGAAGTCAGTTTTAGCGGTTTCGGAGATCTAGTAAAAAAGGTAAAAAAATGCCATTTGGCGGTCAAAAATAATCATTAGACATATGCACATCAAATTATCAGATATTTTATGGAGATTTTAATAATGTGTATCAATTTGGTTTACATTACTATTCCGTAACATCATTTGTCCATAAGCCGGCGACGCGGCGCTTACGCGCTTCGATACTTCGTTTCTGTGCAGCTGAAGCAGTGCGATTGCTTTGTGAAAAAGTTCAAAATTTCGAAAATATTTCAAATTTAAAAAAAAAAAAAACAATTTTTTCTCCCAAAAAAGTCAATTCTTTTAAAAAATTTGAAAGTTCTCAAAAATCTATTTTCATTTTCAAAGTTTAAAAAAAAATTAACGTTTTTTAAAAAATGTATTTTTGGTACGGGAAGTTTCAGCAATTTGCCTTAAGGTACGATGCCATGCACCACTAGTTATAAAAAATATTTAAAGTATTGCAAATCTGCATAAAGTTCTAATATAAAATTTGTATTCTTAAAATTTCGCCTAAACAGGGTGCATCATGCGACGCGCCTGCGTTGTACTTCGGTCTACTAAACATATGCCAGCAATAAAAAACATAAAACAACATAACTCACTCAGTTTTCCGAGTTAAGAGTAATTATTTGCATAAATCATTACAAATATAAACAAATTAATATATAAAACGAAAAAAAAAGATTTCGGTCTATCTGTATCGGTTGGGCTGCGACAAGGCACGCACTCCCGGACGCGATCCCACTACTGCTCACCACGGGGGCTCTTGGCTGCTGGGTGTCCCCTCTGGCCCGGTTCGCCCCTCCTTAGACAACCTGAACACCCCGAGCTCCCTCGGGGTACCCATGTCGATGGCGAGCTTAGTGCGGACGTCCGGTCAACATGCGCCACCAGGCCACAGTTGATCCCGACCTCAAGACATCCACGAAATCTGACCTCCGAGTAGCCGGATTACAAGAGACGCCACGCTCCCAGTCGAGGAAAAGACTTTATATCGTTGTTATAAGCGATTAAAATATTGAACTTAAATTATAACTTGTGGTTTGGGTGGCATCGTGCCTTAAGGCAAATTGCTGGAACTTCCCGTACCGTAACGAAATGTTCGAGGAATACTGAATGTTTTCAAATAGATTATTATAAATATTGTAACATTGTCTATAATATTTATAAGAATTATATAAACTGAATTGCAAAGTTGGAATTATTTGTTTAAAGTATATTAGAACTATAGTCAGAATTGAAAATAAAATCTGAATTATTTTCGATATACAAAAAATTAAAAAAAAAAAAGTTTTAAACAATTTTATTTTCCAAGATCAATTATTTTGTTAAGACAAGCAGAAAGTTCTTTGAATCATTTAAATCGGACGCTTAGTTCTCTCAAAAACTGCCATTTTTTTACATATCCAGCTCCGTATCTTCGAAATGGCTACGCCTGTCTTGCCAAAAACTAATAAACACTTCTCCCAATCATTACTAATTGAATGTTTTTTAGATCATTCAAATCGGATACTCAGTTCTCTCAAAAAAACGATTTCTATTTCTGCATTCTTCGCTCCGTATCTCCGAAACGGCTGGACCTGCCTTTGCCAAAAACTAAGCTCTTTTCCCTATCAATAGGAATCGAATGTTTTTTAAACCATTCAAATCGGTTGATCCGTACGCCCGAAAACGTGGGCGAAAATTTGTATCCATACATACATACACACACACACACACACATCCATTTTTTCTGAGGTATGCCAAAATGTTCAGAAACCTTCAAAACGTCGAGAAATGTAAAAATTTTCAATTCCGATTTTCGGCCCATTACAATAAATTACCCAACGGGAAGTTAATAATAATAGAATTATAACTTATAATGATTTAACTATAACTTGAATAATATTTTGTTATTAATGCCATTAACTTAATAGGTTGTAAAAATAATAAATATAGAATAATGTATAAATGTAGCCGAAAAATGAAGGAAAAATGCTTATTTATATTATTTAGCAGACTGACTGAGAAGTCAAACAAAACTAATCGTAAGTAGCATTTAACCATACGACAAGTTGCACTAACACCCCGATCCGTATACAAAACGAGTTGTGTATGGGTCCGTCGAAGTATTACGTAAGCACTATAGGGGGGGGCGGAAGGTTTGTTGATTTGCTTATTTTGGGTTGACATGGGGGGCTGGGGAGTCTGGATGATGATTGCGTCATAGGTAGTATTTTTATTTTTTTACATTAATTGCAAAATGTTTACGTAAGCTTGAGGGTAGGGGGTAAGAGCTCTGCTTACTTTTGCTGACAAAGGGGATAGGGGGGTAAATAATTGTAATAAATCTGCTTACGTAATACTTGAACGATCCCTATGGCATCGTGCCTTAAAGCAAATTGCTGGAACTTCCCGTACCAGAATTCAATATTCAAGCAAGAAAAATTAATAATCAACATATGTTAATCAATGATTAATTACACATTTTTAAACTGAATTGTAAATTTAAAATTTATGTATTTTGAAAAAAAATCTAAAAATTTTGAAATTTGTTTGAACCGTATAAATGAACTCTAAAAATTAAAAATCTTAGTACGAAACCCAGAAAAATTGTAACAATATTTATTTTATAATTAATTGGTCTACATGTTTAAAATCTCTATAAAATATTTGATAACTTGATGTGCATATGTCTAATGATCATTTTTGACCGCAAATTATATTTTTTTCCTTCTGTATCTCCAAAACCTGTCTTACCGAAAATTTTACCAATTCTTTATTTCATCCATACAAGTAAAGTATTTTTTGAATCATTCAAATCGGGTACTCGGTTCTCTCAAAAACTGAATTACCGTTTTTCGCACTTTTTTCCCCGTATCTTTGAAACGGCTGGACCTGTATTCACCAAAAACTAATGAGCACGTCTTCCCATCAAAAGGAATCGAATGTTTTTTAAATCATTCAAATCGGTTGATTTCGTGGACAAAAAATTATATCCACACACACACATATACAAGCATTTGAAGCATTTTATTTAGATTTTTCAAAACATTGTATATTATATAACAATACTACATTGTCTGCCAGCAACACATCAAAAGGCCTTGATTTTGATTCAGTTTGATTTCAATAACAATTTTTAAGCACCCCAAGAATGTCCATTTTTATGGCGGACAAAATGTGACATCTAGTCAAAATTTGCGATCTCATTTCATGCAAAAGATATGGAAGAACTTACCTACTAAAAACTAATGTTATTGCAGCTAAAAAGAAATCAACACTTCAATATTCACAAAATCACAAATTGATTAAATAAATATTTTTCATTGCTTAACTGCTCTCTATAGTCAGTCAACCCCGCGCCAAGTAAACTGACTGATTTTCAAAGCTGTTCGGACGTATTTAAGTATTAATATGTTAGTAGTTTTAATTCATTTTAACAAAAAAAAAATCTGGCAAATTTTGAGTGATAATTTATATTATGAACTGCACTTTGGAATTCAACGATTATGGTTAGCAATTATTATTCATGAACAACATAACTAAATATTTATTCTATTCAATGAATCCTAAAAAATTATGACATATAATATGAAAGTATAAATATTGTTCATATATATAATCTTTATTATAAAACCAAATTATAATATAACTCTAATGATTTTATAATATTTGGTTTCTATGCTTTGGCTCAAATATACAAATATGTTTTTATTAGAAATATGGCAATTTGTTATACAATAAATTTATGAAAATACTATTACTATATACATAAATAAATTTTATATTTCATATAGTTAGATTTACTTAATTTAGTCAAATTAGTGAAACCTAATTCATATTTAAGATTATTTCATATAATATATTAACTATTTAAGAAAAAATAAAACAATAAAAACGGCACACGATGCTCATAATTTTCATATATATATATTAATAACATCACTGTCAAATCACTTAATTAACTACACCAAATGTTAAAACTAAATATAAAAATCCATTTTAATTCTTCGCAGTGCGTTTCGGCAAATCCACATAAATTTTTTCAGAATCCCTAATGACTGGAGGAGGAGCAACATTTGAGTCATCAAAAAGTATGCATTCTTCACCTTCTTTGTCATTTTCTTCACTGCGATAAACTAAAGACAGACCTGTTGGGTTCATATATGCTTCTGGGGTTAAACTATTATCGACTAGAAAATGTAGGCCCTCATGTTCACTTAATGACTGTTCCCGAGGGCATACATAATCACAGTGGTTACATTTATTGGTACCTTCTCCGCCGTGGTGAGCGGTATGTTCTTCTAAAGATGCGGCAGTCAATCCAACAAAGGGGCATGATTTGCAACGATGTTTGGCCTCAGATTTTAATGCTTTTATTGCTTCAGCTTGTTTTTGAGCAAAGCTCATCGGACGGTAGTCTTTATTTTCTTCAATATTTTCCAGACTACTGTTATTATCAGAAATGCCTAACAAGGAACGTCTAGCTGCCTGAGCATCAGCACTGACTTGGTGTTTCTTCATATGCTGAACATAATTAGCATAATATTTAACAGAGTAATCGCAAGCTTCACATTTATACCTCTGCTGTGCCCCATGTAAAGTCATGTGCACTCGATATTGTTCTCTTTTCTCAAACGCCGATGGACATTTATGGCACTTGTAGCGTTTTTCGCGTGTGCGTCCATTTTTCACGTAAGTAGGATAAATAAAATCGGGATTTCCATGAATTTGAGTTCCGAACTGAGGATCAGCTAGCAATGTTTGAGGCGGGGGAAGTTCATTGGAATGCATCATAAGACCGCTTTTGGTTCGTTCAGCTTCAGTTTTCTGTGCAAATAGATCAGTACCCGAAAGCGGTACCGTATCCGTACTTCCACAGTGCAATTGCTCATGTTTTCTCAGATTACCCAAATCTCGAACCGAGTAGTCGCAATATTGACACCGGAAAGGACCCGAACTGCCGTGCAACGTTGTATGGTGCTGCAAAGCAGACTGTTTGAAAAATCGAGCAGGGCAACGTTCACATGAAAAATGTTTGTTAGGTACACGACTAGCTGTAATTGCGCTATCAAAATCTGATTCTTCAATAACACGATTGACTGCTATCCAAACTTGCTGTCCGGTGTTTGGTCTATTCATCAATAAAGCCGTTGTTGGCTGAGGATGCAAAATGTTTACTGGGTGAACTTCTTGCAACTGTTTTGTTTTATCTTGATAGGCAGTGGTGTGTACAATAGAATGTGATTGCAAATGCGAAGCTTGTCTCGCACAGTATGTGCAATATTCGCACTTGTGAGGCGAATTTGAATTGTGGTAGCGAGCATGAATTTGCAACTCGCGTTCAATAAGAAATCTAGCTGGGCATTGTTCACAGAAATGCAGCATTTTTGTAGGTTCTGAATCGACTTCCTCAATGACACAATCATCTTCGGTATCTTCTGTTTTGATCTTTTTAGCTAGTGGCCCGTCGACGTCCAAATCTCGTCCATGGACACGCATATGTTGCTGCAACAAATGCCTTTTGGAAACGCTGTATGAACATTCGTCGCATTGATATTCTCCAGTTTTAGCAACGTGGAACATAGAATGGTAGGTATATTGGGCTTTGCTATTGCTGACATAAGGACATGAATTACACTTAAATCTAACTGCCGAACGACCATCGCGTGACATGCGCATTTCAAAATATTCCTCTGGATCTTGAACGCCATGCAAAGTTATGTGTTGAATCAAATCTTGTTTGGATACTACAAAATATTCACAGAAAAAGCATTTGAAAACTGATTCTGAGTTAGGTGTATGTTGACGGACATGCCCTTCTAAATCTATTTCGGATGTACCACTATACGGACACATTTCGCATAAAAATTCTCCTTTACGTGGCTCAACTTTATGTGCAGATAAGTTTAATTCTTCTGCTGCATCCATATCGGCTGTGTGGACGCGTATGTCACCATTGTGCTTAAGACGACAATGACGCTATAATAAGAAGAATTTCATGTTTAGTGTCAGCGAAAACTTTATAATGCTAAAAAAACCTAAACACAAACACAAATAAATAAATGAGTACAAAATTAACTGTAATATATATGTGTATATATCCCGAATAGTGATTACTACCAAGCATGCAATCGGTAAATATTTTATACAAAGAGTATGTTTAAATCTTTTTGTAAGAATGAGAAAAGAAAGATTTCCCTGAATTAAAATTTATGTATTATGTCATTGAGAATATAATATATTAGGATCACTGTGCAACCACCATAGTATTTATTTGTGGAATATGTTAAAATCTGTGTATGAAAATTGAACATGAAGGGAAAATATAGTCGAGATTGAAATAGATGTAACATAAACATATAATTATTGAAACGAAATTTCAAAAAGTAAACTAAATATATCAAGAAGTGATAAAACCAAGAATAGTATAAAAATTGCAAAATATTTCCATGCACCATAATCATATCTTTGAACTTACATTATTATAACAGACATTTTTTTTAAATGTGTAAAAATTAATTGTTTTAGTTTATGCAAAATGTAAAAAATTTATTAACTGGGTTTGTAGTTTTCACTTTAACTCAACATATTCTAGATATTGAGATACAACTATTTTATGCAAATGTTTTAAAATGCAGTACGATAGTGATAAAATCATATTTAATTATCCTTTCGTTCTATTTTGTATCCTATTAATATAAATCACCCGTTTTCAAAGCGAGTTTCCACAAAACCATTCAAATTAATATATCAATCAATCCACAACACCTTAACTAAAGAAGCAATCATAATAGAGATATTACTAGCACTTTGCTAAAAATAATTGCATTTGTTATTTGCAGCTCTTTTTAACATAAATATAATTCACCGGTAGAAAACCACTTATGATTGCTTCTGCCCACACCGAGTTAGTAAGCGTGCACCATCGTGCATGTGTTTGGTTAATACCTGGATAACATGCTTCCAGTTTGATACTTGATGGCAATGGCCGCATCGAAATGGTGCTGGCGGCACTTGTGGCGGCGCCAGCGAAGTATTCACGTTAACATTAACCCCACCATTCACCATTGTTAAGTTTTGCTGATGTTGGCCCATATGCATGACACTTGCCTCATTACTCTCACCGACAAATTGCGAAGTGTTTCCCGATGACCATCCCAAACCGTTGTTATTATTATTTAAGTGGCCACTGTCATTTGATGACAAGTCACTCGTGAGATCGAGAACCTCTGGTTCACCTGGCACTTTAGCACCCGCCTCAATGTAGTGAGACTTAACATGCTGCAGGACAATATCTCGGATTGGATGTCTGTAGAAAAAAGAATAATTTAGCCTGCATACTTAATATTACTTCATCATATCAATAAATTTTAATCCAAAGATAGTACTTTTACTTTATTTACTCACCTGAAGTGGCATTTCTTGCACTTAAAATGTTTTTTCTTGTTGTCATCACTGAGAGATCCTGCATGCTTCAGGGGTGGTGGTGGCCTTACTTCACCACTAGCGTCACTTTTGGCAGCTGAAGAAGATCTTGAGTTAGCTGGTGTTAGTCGAGGTAATTCTAGGAAGCTTGATTCACTATGTGGTGACATATTACCTAGATGTTAAAAAAATGATTGTTATTATCAGCCAACACATTGAAGATAAAATGCACACTGTGGCAATATTTATTGATCTAACAAAGGCATTCGACACGATAGATCACAAGATTCTGATCAATAAACTTTTAGAACTAGGAGTGGAAGGCATTCTTCTCAGTATTCTAAAGGAAATTGCACAAGTGACATATGCAAATTAACATGTGGAGTACCACAAGGTCAGTCCTGAGGCCTGTACTTTGTATAGGTGTTTTGTACGATCTCTCATACCAGGCACTTCTGCCTGTCTAATATGCATAAAATTTATATTAAAATTCAAATAAAAAAAAATCGAAGGCAAATATATTGAAGGCAATGGGTTTGGCAGACAAGTGAAGAAATTTTGTTTCTTTTACTACCTTGTGTAAAGTTTTCTGCTGCCCTGCTTCGCTTATGGCTGACTGATGAGTGAGTTGCATGAGATCCGTCCGTGCCATCAGCGACTCGCATGAGCGTCAGATAGGCGTTGTATTTCGAATAGTTTCGCCTCCCGGTTTCATCCGTCATCAGGACCCTCGCCTCCTCGTGGCATTTGTCACGGACTGACTTCAGACGAATGTGCTTCGTAATATCCCAACGCCAATTTGAACGATATGAACACAAAGAACATTCGAATGGTTTTCTATTCAGATGTCCCACTATATGAACGTGAAATCGAGATGCAGTCGTGGCCCAGAAGGAACAGCTTGGGCATTTAAATACCTAAAATTGTAATAAAATTTAGTGAAACTGTGAAATAAAAATCTTTAAAAAAGACAATAACTATCAGTGTATGATCAGTGATTGAGTGTATCAGTGATTGTCAATGTTAAGAATATTTTTGGGAGTATTCTGGTCTAAGGGCATGAATTAGATGCGATATTTGAAAGGCTGTAAAAAAGACGAAAACAACATTTTTACTATATTTTTATTACAGGTTATTAATTAATGTCTTAATAATTTAGAAAAAAAATTAAATCTGTCATTTTGATTTTGGAGATGATGAAGTGTGGGGTTTCAATTTATTGGCACCTGACCATGCCCAAAATTTTAACCCTACAAATAATCTTATCAAAAATATGTATATATTGTTAATCTAGAATAATGTCTACAACTATGGACAAGTTAAAAAAATATTTTTTCGAAAAATAACGACAGTGGAAAAAGAAATTTTGTTAAAGACAGAAAAAGAAATTTTATCTTCTAAGATATTCGAAATTTGAGGATGACCGTAATTCATACTAAGGAAAAGTCTATTAAAAAGACTCTGTATCGAGGAGGATTATTGTGATCAAACACTAAATCTCCGAAAATAATTTGAATTTTGAAAAAAGCTGTTGCACACATATTCTTAAAAAGCTAAAATTTGAAAACATGAGCCAAAATCTCTTTTTTTTTTAATTCTAGACCATAGCCAGGAACCGACGTTTATATTATCAATGATTATGTTCTATGCAGTCAAACATCATCATGACAATAATGTGTCAGCAGTAAATAGCTAAACCACGTCAATGCAAATGTATTGAATTTAACTTATCATCGTCACCATCAATCCTTAAACGCATCAACTTTCCTATGTCAATCAATCTTTCGATATATGGTATTTTTTAAGTGTTAATTTTGTGTGAGACCGACCTTTTTCTCTGCAATATGGTCGCTTTCTCTCGGCAGTGATTTAAGAGTGGCCCCGTAACCGGGTGCCGTCTCGACGCCGACGCAATACTCGGACTCGCTGATTTGCCCTTCTTCCATCGGACTGACCGTTCTGACACTCAAATCCAAACTGCTCTCCTCATCCTAGGGAAATAAAGACACAAATTAACATATTAACAATGATATTTTTTTTATTTCTATAAAACTGCAGGTTACAAAAATCCCATTTAATCCAACAAATCTATTCTGAAACTGACCAATCATTGATTGCCGTAGATATAGCGAATCTGACTTGCACGATGCGGAATGTAACTCAGAAATACGTTTTAATATTAAATCAGATAATAATATTAATTTGTAGTTCACAAAATATTAAATCAAAAAGTTACATTCATATATTTTATTTTGCAGTAACATATTCAATTTATGTATGATATACTTCAAAATAGTCTTTTAGATCCTACAGAGTATACCTCCAAATTGTGGTAATATTAAAAAGATTTAAAAAAGACTCCATGCCTTTAATTATAAAGTTACAGGAAGGACGACCTGATATTATATGTACATCTTTTTTGACTTGATTTATTTTATAGGCCTGTGATTGTTCAATGAATCACGATTTCCATGACCCATGCATAAAAGCAAATAATAGCAGTCAGTCAACAATGTCGTTACGACTTGGATTGAGCAACAAGTATAAGAATTACGTAAACTGTTAATGTGTTCCGTCAATATAATTTTTTTTTTTTTGGTTTTGCATAGGAAAATAAGAGCAGAATACTATTAGTACTTTGGTTGTATTTGGATGGATGGATTATTTTTGAATCTTTTTTTATATTGTAAGAGAGCATGCAAAACCGTAGGATTTAAAAAAAAATGACTTTAAAATAACAAAATCTTCTGACCATTGTTAGAGATTTTGGAAAATAGACACATGAACTGGTAGTAACATGAAGTTCATTTTCAATCTTGTCCTGGTAATTGTTTGGCAAATGAGCTGGAACGATTATTCCTTGGAAGATTTTAGGATTTTAAAAAGTAAAAAAATATCATTTGGGCATTTACTTTACCGTGAATCAAATATGCAAAATGACTAATCGGATAAGCCTAGACATTTGCATCTATAGAATGTATGCAATCGAATAATAACTATCAAATTAGTTATCTTTTGTATTAGTTTTATCACATTTATTGAGCTATTGTACTGCGATTTTACTAATTTTAGATCAATTAAAGTTTGATTTTCACAGATTTTACTCTATTTTTTATTCTATTAAGGTTTTGCTCAGATCTGAAACCAGGTTAGAGCAAACCCGTGCTTTAAAAATACCGTGCTCTAAGGAGGGTGATATCAATTCTTAAACCGTATTAGAGCAAATCCGTGTTATAGAAGTACTGTCATTTATTGTTATACGGGGGTTACCTGTACACTGGTGCTACGTTAAAATGATTGATTGATTGATGTATTATTCTATTTAGAAAAATATAAATAAATATTTTTCATTCGTATTTGCATTTATAATACTTTAATGCGCCTGAGCTGTATTCTTCTACATAAACTTATTAATTAATCTTTATAATTAAGACATTTGACTAAAGTAGTCAGCAAATAGCTGCTGAAATTACCAATATACAAGTTGCAAAACTATTCTGAATTTAATATGTATTACTTTTTAATATGATATATTAAATTAAAAATAATATCAAACATTAAAATAAAGTGACCTAATTATGCTTAAACCAACATTTAATGCTTAAAAATAAAGCTGATAAGGGAGCGTCCATTAATCACGTGAGCCAAAAAGGGTGAAAGTGGGTTTGACAAAAATCACGAAATATCAGGGAAGGATCTGGTAAGATATCAAGTGTATTTATATTTTACCTCAATTTAAAAAAAAACTAAATATTTTCAAAAAAAATAAAAATTTTTATGATTTTCTCTAGGTACTAAAAATACACGTGTTGTGTGGGGGAGGGGGGGTTAATTTTAAATATGACCTATCAACAAGGGGGAAGGGGGAGGTCCAAAAATACTTAGAAATCGATCACGTGATAAATGGACGCCCCCTAAGACGCCCGTCATTTATTGCTAGTTCCAGGTGCTGGACATTAACCTCACAATGAAATTGCTCTATATAAAGGGTTACTAAAAATATTGTTTCTGATGGCAAACAGTGCCACCAGAATCCTCGAATGATTAAAATTCCAATTTCCCTTACCTGCATCCGCTCCTCCATGTGCTGATCGGCACCTCGTCCCGGCGGCAGCGTGTTCCACACAAAGACCACGTTCTCCATGGGATGCGGCCCTTGGAGGTCATCAACCGGCGCAGTTGAAGCCGATTCTGCTGCGTCCATGTCAATTGTCGCGTCCGCCTTGAAAATGATAATTCACACACTTTGTAGCTAGTAAAAGCACTCTCATATGGCACACATATAAACGAACTAGAATTATTGCAGGGGAGGAAAACAGAGAAATAAGATAAATTGAAACAATAAACCTAATTAGTTAATTACTATAATTTTCGATGTTTTTATAAATGTATGAGTTCTGGAATAATTTCAATGATTATCGAGAAAATAAAAAACAAACAAAAAATTATAGTTGTTTACTGATGTGTAGGGATACATATTTGTATAATCATGAATTAGGGGGCGTCAATCATTAATTAATCACGTGAGCGAGTTTTTAAGGATTTTTAGACCCTCCCTCCCCCTTGGTGATACTTGGTGATCACTCCCCCCACTCCTCCACCAAACATTACGTGTGCATTCAGTTTCGTAAAATATCTAAAATATTTGATTTTTTTTGAAAATGTTTGATTTTTTTTAAAAAATCAGTCAAAAAATAAATACACGTGATATCTTACCATACCCCTTTCTCTCCCACGTGATGCTTCGTGATTTTTTGTCAAAACGCCCTCCTCCCCCTAACAACCTCACGTGATTGATGGACGCCCGCCAGATGCTAATCTGGGAGTTTTACTGAACATAGTCAGATAGTTGGTTATTTGATATGAGTCATTGGTTCGGTTTTCACAATCTAATTTCTTTGTGCCCCGTTCTACCCATAAAATCTAATAAGTTAATTATTGTTTCTATGAAAGGTTGGCCGCCCCTGGTAAATAAAGATTCACTTGCGTTGTCGTATATCGTACGTTTCATTAACCCACAATTATATCGTTGACACCGGCAAGAAATCCAATATGTACATAGTATCACTTATCGCTCGTTACATTTAAATAAAAATACATGTAATTTAGTAATGATGGAATAGAAAATCTGTTCAATGAGGAATAATTAATTGGAAACCAATCATGCCAATCAGCACCACAAATTATATTATGAACGATGATTTAAATTAGTTGACCCAACAAACGTTGTCCAGTGAAAACGTAACGTCTAAAAATAAAATTTATAGGCTTAGAACAGCTAGAAAACCAACTAATGTCTATCTAAACCCCATAGACGTTGTCCAGTAGAAACATAACAAAAATAATAATTAAATCTAGGGCAAATTTAATTAAATTAACATAATGTAAAGTAAATTTTACATGAGAGTGTTTATTATGCTTTATATCAAAATTTGAGTTGAATCATCATGAAGAATAAAAAACATATATTTTTTCTCTATCTTAAGAAATGCATCCAAGGATGCACATGTTGTAAAGACCTTGTGTTCATATGAGTAATTTCAACGAGCACTAAATAAACATTGCCAGTAGCAATAACATATTGCAACATGCATTAATGCAAGAAATTGTTACAGAAATTATAATGTGGAACATTTGGAAAACAATTATTTCTTGTGTGAATAAAACTGTTGTACTTCATTCAACATTTGAATTAATAATTTGAAGAAAATTTACTTATTTTATTAATAGACATATATATATATATATATATATATGTATATATATATATATATATATATATATATGTGTGTGTGTGTGTGTATGTGTGTGTATATATATATCTTATCCGATTATAGATATATGTTCTTTATCAGGACTTTAATATTGATAAAAGGCCTCGTATTTTATATATTTCAATGAATTAGCTGATAATATAAATTGCCAATATTTCTTCAAATATATGAAAAAATGTAATCAATGAACACCTTATCATATTAACATTTCAGCAACTTTTAAGAAAATGTGACCAGTTAATTGTAAATAATTTTCTAAATCAAAATTCATTTCAATTTTAAAAATGACTCACCTTTCCATTTGAGCTGCTTTCGCTGGAGGCTCCCATCGAATTAGTGGAATTCTGCAAGTCTGCATTGGCGCAGGTCGCCAAGTGTTGCAGCAGATCTGCACTCGATTTGCATCGATGCCTGCAGTACTGACATCTAGTTGAACGCAAAATAGACCCAGATCTGACACTTACATCCTTTGTTTCCATCGAATTGCATGTCTTTTGATGAGAAGCAGCCTCAGACAAAGAGCTAGACACGTGTCCACAGTTATTGCACGTGGCACTGCCACTTTCGCCAGCGTCCGTCAGTAGTTTTTCTTTGAGACGATCGAAAAACGAAGCGTTCTTTTTGAGTACTTGTGGTTTTATGTTGATTACCTCTTCAGCTCCAACCAATGAGGCGAAATCTTTCAAGGCACTATTTTGCGATTTGGCGCAGATTTCGTTCATGTCCTTTTGGCTCATTTCCACGGAGTTCGCACCACTCGACCGTCTAGAAGATGCGCTCTGGATTGGAATCAAATTAGGAATAGGCCTGGCCGCTTTCCTAGGTTTTTCAGGTTCTTCACTGCTAGATTTCTCACTATCATTTTTAGTTTTCAGTTCAAAACTTTGCGTTTTATTCGGCATATATCCGTTTGTATAACTGTCATTTTCAGCAAAATCATCTCTGCGCTTGATGGAAGACTGATACGATACCTTTTTATTCTGCTCAATCGTTGTATCGTTGTTGTTATTCAGTGACGCGTCCATCAATAGACTTGTATTCTTTTCCTGCAAAAAACGAATCATTCTTTAACTTTTTTCAACAAAACGTCATAAGGTTATGTTAAACTATCTTTTGTTTCTAAGCCGATCAAGGTTGTAAGACGACGGGGGTTGTGGCAGAGCCTACTCGCCCGACAAAAATAGTTCAAGAAAAATCGATAACAAAAAACAGTACCTAAATTCATTTCGATGCGTATCAACAAATATTGTCGTCTAGGAATTATATTCGGATGAAGAATTTCGAGTGTTCGCGAAGAAAACAAGACACATTAGCGTAGGCAGACAATGGATATGATATTTGTTTCTGCCTCGCCAATGTAATTATAGTTACTCTGTCATCTCATAAGAGGAGAGCTGGCGGATGATTATAAAAAATTATAGAATTAGTTTCATTTGATATAGAGACTAGTTCAATCGCAATAGAGAAGATAATTAACAAAATTAGGTATACCTTTATATTTTTTATATATATTATGATTATGTTACTATATAGACTATATAATATAGTATAAATAATATATATTAAATATTATTTTTGAACTGAATGAAATTAGTTATTTTATTAGTTATTAGACTAGTTCAATTGCAATGGAGAAGATAATTTAAAAAAAATTGTAAAAGGTGTACCTTTAAATTTTTTATTATTATTATTGGGGTTTATACAAAAACCGGCATTTCAGAAAACCGGTTTTCGAATAGTATTTTTTTCCGAAAAACCGGTTGTAACCGGTTTTCAAATTTTATATAATAAATAAATTTTTGCTCGAATATTCTGAAATAACAAAAAAATACCGACAAATTTAGTGTGATTTAAAGCACTTATGACAAAATTTATTTACTGTTCAATTTTATTGATAGTAAAATTTATTTTAATTTTAATTGAAAGAACAAAGAAATAATAGTTGATCTGGTTTCTATATTTATTAGGTATTAGTAAATTATAAAATTCATATCGTCTCTGAAATGAGGATCAAATTTCTTTAAACATATGCCTATAATACCTTTCATTTTTTTTATTATTATTATATAGTAGTTTTTACACCTGTCCTTAAATGGACAACAAGTAACACTGTAGAATTAAAAATGACTCCAAAAATTCAAAATCCTCTAACCGTTGTCAGAGATTTTGCAAATTGACGTATGGAAATGAATCATGAAATTCTTTTTCATTTTGCCCAGGTAGTTTAGGATGATCTTCGAGGCGGCTTTTGTAATAATCTGAATGTGTTTGAGTTTCATTGTTTATTGTGTTCAAGTCGGCGACTTTAGTGTAATTTAGTGTAGTGACTTTGGTGTAACTTCATTTAGAAATTTATTCGGGCATCTTTGAATTTTGATCACGTTTGATTTGGAAGCTGATCGTCATTAACATCTTATTGTTTTTATTCCACTTTATTATTTTTCTAATATTATTTCTATTATTTACAAATTTTATTTATTTTACTTAATAATTTTATTACTATTATTGATATTTGCTTTTATTTTGTACTCTATTTTATTTGAATTTATATTATTGTTCATTAATGTTACTAGATGTTATATTATTTAGCAGTTGTAACAAATATTGTAATTAAAAAATAATTAACATCTTTTTGGCCATTTACGATTCATTTAGTTTCATTAGTAATTTATAAGAAGAAAAACTATTATGATATCAGGTTATGATGGTATAATGAGAAATATTGTAAATAACCTCCGTTGATATTTTGGCTCCAGCTCCTTCATTAACAAACGTAATCGTTCTGCATAAGGATTAATAAACGCATGAATTATAAAAATGTGCCATTAGCGTGCACATATTAGTACAAATTGTGAAACATCTCTAGTCCAACAGCAGCTAAACAAATATTACTACACTACATGTTGTTAGTAGTACGTAGTCTTTCTGTTTGTTTATTTTTCTACTAACGACGTCCTGCTCGTACCAGCATCGACATTGCTTATTATTTATCTTAATTTGCCAAGAAAATTAAAGTAAACCTCATTTTTGTTGAGTTTTCATTTTAGATATTACTTATAGAAATGATTACGGCATAAAAATAAGCTGGACGAAAGTAAGTAGAAAATTGGGGCTAAAAATTTATGTTACCTAAGAATAAATAGATTTTTTTTGAGGTTTTATTCATCTGGCAATTACAACTAACCCAAAGCTGTTTTGTTTGAAATATTATTTAGTTCTATATTGTTTATTTTCGCTTTCATTATTATAATCTATTTTTCATTAGGCACCCCTTGTTAGGCTTATTGAATAATAACATAGTTCACTGTAGAATAATCTTCATTGCCTTTATATTTTCAGTGAAATATGCATTAGCATAGCTTCTTATCAAAAACATGGTATATCATAATCCAAATAGTGAAGCCATTTAGATCCAAAGTTCTCATTGTAGATAATAAAAAATAAAGAATGCGCAAAAAACTAGTGTAAAAAAATCATACATACACATTCATAAAATATAAGATTGAAAATTCGATCGAGCACATTTGGAAAAAAATGTTTTGGTGTAAATTTTGCATGGCCTGGTCAAACATTCATAGAATGGAATAAAATGCTTCCTAAAATGAATTGTACTAAGAAAACAGGTAGTTATAAAATCCTACTACATATTATCGATATTAAATATATGATGATTAAAATAGCAACCAAAAATTTAATTTTGAAATTTGAAACAATTTCATTCATTTTTCTTCATTTCTGCCCCTATTTGTATACAATTTATTAATTATGCATTTGTATACAAATTTTTAATCGATTCTGATGACCCATATATTGAAGGAACTGAAGTTCAATAGATTTTTAAAATCATGCTTTTTTATTTAAAATTTCAGGTCTAGCCGTTCCGAAGATATGGGGCAAAAAGTGCCAAAAATGGTAATTCAGTTTTTAAGAGAACGGATCATCCGATTTTAATAATTCAAAATCATTTTACTTGTATTGACGAAATGAACAACTGGCTTGGGAAGGCAGGTCCAGCGGTTATGGACTCTCAATAAAAATAAATTAAAAAAATGTCATTTGCCGGTCAAAAATGTTTATTGGACATATGTACATCAAATATTTCATAGATATTTCATAGAGATTTTAATAATGTGTACACATTTTGTGTGATTTTTTTTGGGTTCCGTACCAAGATTTTTAATTACGGTACGGGAAATTCCAGCAATTTGCCTTAAGGCACGATGCCATGCACCCCACTAGTTTAAATTATTTTCTGGCAAATGTACCGTAGTACCGTAATAGGTCATCAGCACTTACAACGAGCTTTATTATCATCGCAATATCAGACCATAAGATTATGAGCTGTAAACAGCAAAAATTAAAATATAAATTTATCAGACACTGAATGAAACATTCAAAAAATTAGGATAATGTATTATGAAGATTAAGCTAAATATTACTAAAAAAAAATTAAATTACAATATTAAATATTAATTATTCCATTGTTGTCATTTGTGGTTTACTTTACCAAAAAATAGAGTCAATGTGTGTCGTAAGAATTTAGAAAATATGTGTAAGAATAACTCTCCTCAATCAAAATAACAACGTATACTAGTGGTGACTGAACTAATGTCAAAATTTTCTTACTTTTTAAGAATCATTGATTGATTCTGGTTAGACAATATATCTGTTATCCCAGTATCCGTTCCAAGCACGTGTCAATCATTACAATTCGTGTCAGTACACAAGCTCTTTAACTAAACAAGATATCCGACGTCATAAGATGCACTAACTAATTACATTGGAACACTGCACACTCTTTTGCAATTACGTAAACAAAACTGCAAGACAATCTGCTAACTACACTACTGAACCCACACTTCGCAGTCGCCTTCGCTGGCCGGTTAGCAACATGCATAATAATATTAATAACCAAGTCTTTTTCCACAGACCTGCGACTATCTGTATAATCGTTTCTTCCGAAATTTGTGCATCTAGAACACACATATTGTAAGTGTATAAAAGCATGTCGGGATGTGTTAAAACGCTGATAACGTCCAACCTTATCTGTTAATACTAAATATGAAGCATTTACAATATTTCAGAAATCTAGTACAAAACAGCGAAGCACTACTACGTGCTTTGCTTCGCCTCTCTGCCATCGCCTTGGAATCAGATCGAACGCGTGTGTGCATGCCACTCAAGCCAAGACAAGGCACTGCGTGCATGCGTTCTTCAAACTTTATTTGCCCGATTCATTTCTTGCAATATGTTCAAGCAAAACTTTTAGAAACATTCATTACGACCCCATAATTGCATCATATCATAAAAATACCTTGGTTAAATGAAGGTCAAGCGCCCATTGATCACGTGAGGCTCAAAAGCATAGTAGAGGTTTAACAAAAGATCACGATATATCACGTTGGGGAGAAGTGTACTAATACATTACATAGTTCTCCGAATTAAAAAAAAAACAGAAAAAATCAAAAATTTTAGAATTTTTTCAGATACTCATAATAAACGTGATTGTGGATGGAGCATGAGAAATATTTTGAAATATTACTTTGTAACTAAAGTCCACAAAGCCAACCATATTTCTTTAACCAGTTTGAATATATTTTGTTTGAGTCAAAATTTTAAATTTAAATGGCATATGGGTACTGTTTTATACGCATGACAAATATACTTGTCAATACAAAAAAATCTGCTACAATCAATACGTCAATATTCGTCAATTTTCGTTAATATAAAATCAACTAGTGGTATATGGCATCGTGCCTTAAGGCAAATTGCTAGAACTTCCCGTACCGTAACGAAATGTTCGAGGAATATTAGGGGGCTTCCATTAATCACGTGAGCGAGTTTTTAGGGACTCCCCCTCCCCCTTGGTTATACATGGTGATATTCAAAATTACCCCTCCTCCCCCACCAAACATCACGTGTATTTTTAGTTGACAAAACTGTGATTTTTTTTCATTTTTTTAGTAGAAAAAACTGTAAAATTTTTTCATTTTTTTTTTAAGTGTTTGAACACTAAAATTTTGAATACTAAAAAAAATAGTTAAAA